GTGACTCCAGAGTTTACGTCAAGCTCAGGAAGGATCCTACTCGTACAATTGAGCGAAAAACTGTTGATCTCCTGAAGAAGGCTGGTCTCTCCGTTAACCGGACGAAATTCCTCACCCCTAAAGAATCCTTTCCTCCTAGACTCTATGGACTCCCCAAAATCCATAAAGAGTCTGTTCCTCTCCGTCCCATTGTCAGCAACATTGGAGCGCCAACTTACCAGCTGGCCAAGTTTCTCACGAAACCACTCCAAAAGTTGACTAGCCGGAATGGTTCATACATTCAGAACTCACTGGATTTCGTCAACAAACTGAGAAATCTCCGGACTTCTCCAGATGATATCCTAGTGAGTTTTGATGTGGAATCACTCTTCACTAACGTCCCAATCCCAGAAACCTTGGAAATCATCAAGAAATCCAACAACATCTCTTCCCAATTCCTTCCCCTGATTGAGCATTGCTTGACTTCTACATACTTTCAGTTCGAAGGAGAGTACTATGAGCAGAAATCGGGAGCGGCAATGGGTTCTCCCATTTCCCCGATTATTGCAAATATATTCATGGAACACTTCGAGAACGAAGTATTGAAGTCAGCACCTCAGAAACCTACTGTGTCGTTCAGGTATGTGGACGATACCTTTATCATCTGGCCACATGGAAAGACTGCTCTAACTCAATTCCTGGAGTTCTTGAATACTCAGCACGTGAGCATCAAGTTCACTATGGAAATTGAACAAGATAGATGTCTTCCATTCCTAGATGTCCTGGTTCGACGCAACGAGGACGGCACTCTAGGCCACCCAGTATATCGCAAGCCAACCCACACAGATAGTTATCTCAATGCTACCTCCCATCACCACCCCTCCCAGAAGAATTCCGTTATTAGCTCCCTAATTTATAGAGCACTCACAATCTCTCAACCCTCCAACGTTGACAGTGAAGTTGAACATCATGAGGTAGCTCTGACCAAGAATGGATATAACATCCAACAAATTCGGAAGGTCAAGCAGAAGCTACAGAGCAAGCTCTCATCTCCCGACGAGGAGACTAATCCTGAGGAACACCAGGAGAGACCAAAAGTGGTCCTCATCCCCTATCTGAGAGGCATAACAGAACGCATAAGTAGAGTACTTGGCAAACATAACATTCGAACAATCTTCCAGCCTCCAAAGAAGATCGGACAGATGCTGCCAAGTGCAAAGGATCCAAGACCACCTCTGATCACACCAGGAGTGTACGAAATCCCCTGCTCATGCGGGAAAGTGTACATTGGAGAAACCGGGAGGAAGATCAGTACACGGATCAAGGAACACCAGCGGTGCTCCAAATACGGTCACTTAGAACAGTCTGCCCTGGCTGAACACTGGATGGACACTGGACATACTATCCAGTACGACCAAACCAGAATGTTGGCCAAATCTCAAGGGTATTTCAAAAGGAAATACCGAGAGGGTTTCGAGATCCCTAAAACCCTAACAACCTCAACAGGGACAGAGGATATCAAGTGAACCCCATTTGGAAAACCGTCCTCCCGGTTTTTTAATTGACCAGCTGATCAATTAAAAACATATGATTGGCTGACCCCCCCCCCTTCCCCTTCCCCGACCACTACAAGGGGAGGCATATAAGGACTACCCCAAGACATCGGAGCTCAGAATCGGAGCTCATAGCCCTGAAGATGCAGACTGCAATGTTTGCGAAACGTCGACGCAACGCTGAATCCAAACGCGGCATCCATCCGGAAGCCGAAGATGTCAGACTGAATTCTATTCGGAAAATTCATTGCAAATAAATTTTAGGGACACAGGTATGAAGACTATCGAATATCAGCAGTTTTCCAAAGGAGCTCTCCTCCCCTATTATTCAATCTCGCACTTCCCCAACAGAGGAGGACCGCTGAATGACTCTATTGTTATGCTGCAACCATAGTGTACCTGTCTCCCTGCACGCGCTCGGCTTTGAAGCCCTGTAACTCGTCAATATTCGGAATTTCTAAAAAATTCTTTCTCTACATTATTTTAGAATAGTAATAGAATGATAAAATGTAAAAAAATCGATTTTTTGACCCAGGAAAATGCGAAGACCCCCTTAATCTACCATAGTTAGGGAAAAATGGTGTAGAATAAAAAATGTGTATCTTGACATGTGAAACATTTTTTGTTTGAAACTTTTGTCCCTTTCTGTAACTGTTTCCGTGATATGATCGTTTAAACAATTGGATTGTTAATAACAAATAGAACGCCGGATTTTTTCCAAAAAAAATTCACAAATTCGGAATCAGTGACCTAAAAAACATAAATTTTCTACATGAAAACTCGCCGACTCTTAAATTGACACAGGAGCAGGTACAGTGCACGCACTAATTATCGACCATATTTACGGCAGGAATTCTGACGGTGTGGTCGACCATACTCCAAAGTTGAGTGTTGAATGGGTTAAATAATTTTTTTATAGATTGAAAGTAGATTTTCAATAATTTTTTATAGATTATGGAAATTTGTGCCATGTAGTATTGCAGTTACACGGCGATCATCACAGCTGTGAATTTTCCGAAGACGAACCGAGTGTTGAAATCTCTATATTCCGCACAAACTATTTAAAAAAATTGTATGCTTCCTATTTCAATCAACTTCGTTCCATATTTTTTATCGGCATCTTAAAAATCTTAGCGAAATTTTTGGAAAATTTTATTAAAATTCTGTTGAATCTTGTGGCTGATATTCATTGTAATATTTCTCACTTCGGATATTTCCCGATTGTTTTGTTGCGAAAACATGAGGGAAATGTCCGATTAATTTTGAAGGTCGAGTGGTATTCGACGGATTATTTTTTGTAATCGGATCCTTCCCAAACCGACTCATTTTGACTTTTTTCGTGACTTTTTTTCATTCCACAGGATAATATTTGACAGTTATTTGGTTGGCGAAACAATTGCAGAGCTAGAGGGAAATTATCAAAAGCTACAGGGAAATTATCAAAAGCTGGGGGGAAATAACCGCAGGTAATATCACGAGAGCTTCAAAATTATCGAGCAATTCCCGATAGGTTCGTTGCAAACAAACAAAGGAGTCAAGTTTTTCCTGAAGAACTTGACGACTTCGTTTGTATGCAGAGAACCTTGAGGGAATTACTCGATTAATTTTGAAGCTCGAGTAGAATTCGGGAGGGAATTTTCCCATCCAAATGTCGGCCAAAAGAATTGCACTATGAGACAAAATCCATCTGACAGTTCCAACCAGAGGTTCACTCGACCACGGAATCTTTTGTTTTCCACAAATATAGTCAACATGAAAAATTACCAGTTGAATTATCAAAAATTATCAGCTGAATACCGTGTTGACTATATGAAATAACAGTCGAATAGTGCAATTCTATTGGCTGACATTTGGACGAAAAGTGAACTTTTCGGCACGCTCCGCGTGCCTAAAAGTCCAATTTCCGCCACATTGTGATGAAAAATATTGTTCGTAACTCGTGAAAAAATGTTTTTTGCACTCGTTATGAAATATACTATTTCGTCACTGCTGCTACGTTCACTTTATGCCGAAAAGTTCCTTTTCGTTTACTTGTAAACAAAAAAAGACACAGTTCGCCAGTCGTTGAACGTAACATCACGGACAAAGGATATAGTTCAGCACATGTGCGATGAGAATTTTTCATACTCGTGAAAAGCCCGTCCCACTTGTATCAAAATATACTACATTCGACCACGAAATATATTTTCAGTCAAATTTACTAGAATTTTCCATTTTTTATGCCAAAAATATCTAGCTTTGATGCATTGGCATATAGTTCAAAACGCATCTGCGCAATTCTCCACATTTACCCGTAATATCGCTTAAATGATCGACTCCCAATCACGGTCCCCGCCCGAGCGCGTTTCGTCAGATAATATTCGCTGTAATATTCAATTTCGGTTGAAAATTGTTAATAAAACATCCAAATGTTAGAATTATTTTGATTAATTTATTTGAATTAGCCCAAATAAATTAGACGCAGGTAGACCTTCCTTGCGTGTTACCTGGGATGTCCACTTCACAGTTCGATGCTCTCGCTACCTGGTAAGGGACCGCCATAAAGCCATTTGACTTTTCACCAACCTCGATAACGACAAATTGCCAGTGGGTCCAATTTTTCCGTAAAATTTTTAACTGATTCTTCTTGAAAATTGTTGCCAAAAATTTGAAACAAAACCAAAAGCTTTTTGATACGATCAACCGTCGTTTGCGACCTTGGCACATTCAAATTTCGTAAATCTCTACTTTTTTGGGCGATCTAATGTGCAAAGTTTCCGGAAAGTTTTTAGAAATCCTCATAAAGCAAGGATTTTAAGGTTGGCGTGTCATAACAAGTGCTTCCTTCCTTTGGGTCAGAAAGTTGAAAATAATACTTTATATGAGTGATTTCGTTAATTATTGGTCCGGTTTTAGACCTTCGAAATTTTCATTTTATCGAGGTTTTCATATGGGTATCTTAGCATTTAAACGACGTAAAAAAATTCTTTCATTTTGCTTCAGAATGGAAGCCTTGTTGACCAATTTGTCTATTTTCTAATTTTGATTGCAAATGGTCTAGAATGTTATGAAATGTGAAGAAATTATGTTTTTAGGATCATCTCTATATGTATGTATCCAACAACTTGGGTTTTTGGTGATTAATTTTTAGAAAAAGCAGCATAAATACGATGAAATTTGTAGATAAAAATCTGAAATCTTGGCTCATTGTAGCTATTATTGAGCTCAACTTGGCGCGTTGTTTCAGCCCGATCGGTCCAGTAATTCCTGAGATATAACAAGTGGTTTAAATTTCGTTTTTCCTTAATATCTCAAAAACTACTGCACCGATTTCCAAATTTTTGGTTCGAAATACTCGTCTTGATGGCCTCTACGTAGGTCAATCAGAATATATAGATTCCTTAACACACAGTTAAGATACAGTTTGGATATATTGCTGTTTTTTCGTTATTGCATGAAAAATCTTGTACGCAGAATAACTTGAGAAAAAAGGAGATAACAAGTTGAAATTTGGTATGGTTTTAGCCTTTATAATACCAAAGATTGGTATTATGGATGGGCTCAACCGACCGAGTTTCGGAGATATTTAATCTTTTCTATAAATCGATTTCATTAAAAGATTGAATATCTTCCTGTAGACATCCTGTAGCATGTGATTACGATTGTATGCCTGCCATAAGGACAGGGAATTGCTACGAATCCATTCGGAAGTTTGCTACCAATGGAATCGATAGAAAAAAAGAAATAAACTAATAACGCGAAAAGTAACGGTCACATGCCTTCTGTCTGATAGGCGCGTACCCCCGCTTGTTTTTTTAATTTTATTACGCAGCAAGAGAGTTCACGGAACTCGAATAAATTTTCATTCATCACTATCGTCCCGGGTAACATCATGAATGTATTACATATCGAAAAATTGGAAGTGCATTGAAAAAATCATGAAAACAAAAAATTCTTGAAGATTCACAATTCTTCCACGCGATTTGTGTGAATTCATTTGCGACAAAATCATACTTGAGTACAAGAATATTCTAAAGCCTGAAAGAAGTAAACGATTTATAAAAAATTACTCATTTCGAGTAAATACGTTTCAGATAGTAGAATTTTTTCCGAGTATAAGAAAGATGCCACTGGAACACTTGTTCAGAACAGATTTTTCTCCAAAAATGGATACTATAACGTATGAGCCTTCATGCTCAAATAAATTGTCTGATTGAAATAAAAATAACACGTCGAAATCTTACAATAGTGACATTTAATACTTTCGAAAGTATAAGAGACATTCTTTCATTGTGCATGAATGATATAATCCATTATTTACATTAAACATCTACGTCGCTCTATAAAAATATTATTAAAAAATTGCACATTATGTACATAGTTCTTTCACAGCCATGTGAAACATGAATTCGGTTATAAGATCATTGTTGCCGATTTTCTAATTATCTACTCGATAATTAATCATCAGAGTCCCGCGATTTTTCCCCACTGAAGCTGTCATTTTCTTGATTATCTTCAATTACACTGTCTTGCTGGGAAGTCTCCATCGTTTCCGAATTAATCGACACATTGCTTTCATTCTTATCTTCTTCTTGAGTATACTTACTCAAATTACTCATTAATTTTTTCCAAGGGTCTTCGAGAATTAACGACAAATCGATTATTTCGGATATAGCCTTACTTCTCATCGCTGTCAATTCACTTTTATGGTCCTGAAAGCATTGAATTGTCAGTTTTACATGAACTAACGAATGACAACTTTTATAAAATTCAGAAGTGGACAAATGTCTTTTAAGCATTCCTCAGTGTTCATTTACAGTTTATCAATAAATAATTGAAATTGTTTAAACTTTCGGAAACCTTATGGTTTTAGGCATGAAATCGATTTCTGGTAAAATTCTGATCATGAATGGATTTGTTACGATTCTGAACAAATAATTTGTGCAGTGAAAAAATAATTATTTATAAATTATTTACAGAAAATTTTCGTAATATTCAAAAATTGCAATTTTTTAATTGTTTCATCAATCTGCGCCCAAAAGTAAACTTTCTAATTTTTTTCAGATTTTTAAAATGGTTTCCCACGGTTCACGATCGAGATTCAAATTCAGGCCTGTAACGTTCAAATAATAAAATCATTGCAAAATGTCCGGAACCTTAGGATCCAATGGAACTCAAATGAAAGGTCTGATGTTCGACTACAAAAGTAGAAAAGCATTTCACTGGAGAAAAAATAACTAACATACTTGGATACCCTTAATTATTACTCGGATCCATGCACTGAGATTGTAATGAAAACATGTTCTCAATCAAATTTCGTTTGAACCAAAGAAATCGCAAGTTAAAAATGTCAAAGAATAAAAAATTCCCGCTGAGGTGAGAAAATTTTTGACGTAAAAATACTTTTACTTGTTCCAAAAAATTGTTATTTTCTGTGCAAGCATTCTCTACTCATTATTGGATACGTATTTTGTTCGCGAAAAATGTTCATCACCTGCAAAACCGAGGAGAGTAGTTTTTCGTTTCCACTATCAAATAGTTAAACATGAGAAACGAATTCTCCAACAGAATAATAATATATCATCAACTTGCGATTTTTTTGGTTTAAACAAGAATTTTTTTGAGAACATGTTCTTTTTTCTCTGATTGTAATGACACAATATAGTCTTTGCGACCCCTTAATTTGATTTTCGGAAATGTTTTCTTACTCTTTGATGACTCCTCCGGTTATTATAAGGGGAAAATGAGTTGGAGTTTCCCCTGGGACTTCTGTTGTCATTGTAAAATCCGGGAGACCCGCCGAAGCTCCTATTGCGTCCGCCCCGACCTCCATAAAAATTGTTCTGCTTATTTCTCTCATGACTTGTTGGGGTGCTTTTTCTATCATAATACGCGGTTGGAGTACTACTTCGATGATGATGACTCGGTGGAGTACTATTAAATGGTATAAAATCGTCGCCGCTGGCTTCTTGACTCGAATTCGTAGGATAAACCTGAAAGATGTTTCTTTCACCATAACCTCTACTGTTACGACGCTCCAGTGATTTCCAGCCAGATCCTGGCCTGTTTCCACCGGAACTGTTTCCCCGAGGTGTGCTGAATGGTGCCTTCCTCATTTCTAATTATTGTTGAAAATTCTATCTACTACTTTGATTGAAAGACCGTTTTTATCGCAAATATTTACGTTTCGGAGTCAAGGAGTCGAAAACACTAAACCATGCGTATATACTGGCGACAATATGAGAGTGATCTTTCCATCTAACCCCTACTTCCCCCACCACCGACGCGCGCATGCGCAATGCTGCGGGAGCACACCCTCAATCCGCCGGTGCTATTTTCTTGGGTTTTGAAGACGAAAATTTCGTGCAACACACAGCGAAAAAATCGACTTAAAAAAAAACCTTTTTCATCATTAAATCTACACTCATTAATCTATTCATCCATTCATTCCTTTAGCTCATTCATTCTTCACATTAATTCATCATTTAATCATTTTATTTTACAGCTCTTCATAAAAAAATATCGTGTTTAAAAAGTGTTCCAGTGAAGACTTGTGTCATTATTTGTTTAAATTAATTTTGTGGCTTAGCAAAAGTGTTTCAGGGATCCAGTGACATCGATAATTTTCTCTTTTTCATTGTGAACATTTAGAAGAAGTGGTAAGTAGAGCTGATATATTACTACATGTTTTATGGAATTATCGGGATTTCTAGGTTAGGTTTGTGTTTACCGGCCGGTGTTTGCTTAAATTTTTTGCAAACTCAAAAAAAAATCATTATTATCGGAAAATACAATTGAAAAAATAGGGAAGGGTGGGGCTAAATGGCCCAAAATGGATCCCTGATTCAATTTTTCGATTTTTGAGTTTTAACTGCAAATGATGTAGAATATGATGAAACGTCGAGAAATAACGTTTTTATGTTTATATTTTCTTTTCCGAAATCTAATTTCAGAGGCGATTTCGCTACAAGTACTGACAAAAAGTCTTTTTCGAAAACTAACGTTTTCTGAAGTAGGAAAATTTGAGAGATTTGAAATGGGGGAAATTTGAAATGGGGAAAATTAAAAATGGGGAACATTTGAGAAGGAGGAAAATTTGGAAGGGGGAAACTTGGAAATTGAAAAAATGTGGAATTGCGAAAACTGCGATTGGGAACTGTATAAATTTGTGATTGTGGAAATTGCGACTGGAAATTGCACTTGAAATTGGAAATCCAAATTTGAAATCGGGGAAATTGGAAATTTTGGAAATTCGAAAAAGGGGTATTTGAAATTAAGAAAATTTGAGATTGAGAGAATTCGAAATTCAGAAAAATTGAAAGTACTAGAATTAGAAATGAAGAAAATTTCAAAGAGGGGAATTTGAAATTTTGCAAGTTTGCAAAAATTTCGAATGGAGAAAATTTAAAAGACGGAAAATTTGAAATTGAGGAAATTTGAGTGACTTTTTTTGGGTTGAAAATCCGAGGGACTCCTATGTGTAAAATATGACTTATTAAGGGCACAATGGGGAAGAGAAAAGCAGAGAGGACTCCGAAGAAGACGCGCCGGGCCTGGACTGGTGACACAGTGGATAAGAGAGGGTGTTCTTTTCATGGCCAAACTCAGGCGATGATTTACTACCTTCATGGATACTTCGTAAAGGAGAAAATCAATAATGGACCTTTGATTGCCGTATCCCGAGTGAGGTAATTATAATATACTTCTGAATTTTATAAAAAAATTGTCGAATAAATATCGCCAGATTTCCAAGCTGAAATGTATAAATAAAAGTCCTCCGTGCGAGTTTCATCTCGTCAAATCGACTGTTGGGTTTAGAATAACCTTGGCATCCAACAGCAACAACTTCAGAAAAAGAAACAATTCAGAAAGGAAGTTTTTAGGAATTATGCTTTCAATGAAATTTTTCAGAATTTCAGAACCATCTGGGTGACAGACAACGGAGAATCTACACCTGAGCATTTGGAAGAGTAAAAACAATACACATATTAAACAAATGGTTGAAAAAGCTATTCACTCCTTGCACAATCGTTTGCCTTTTTGTTATGTTTATGATATGGCTTCTTTCAGGGTTCATTTTGATTTTACCTCACTATATTCTTCAGGATACTCTGATAAAAGTGTTTGGAAAATGTAAATACTAACTCATTTGCACGAAATGGCTGAAAAAGCTATGCAGTTTTGGTTAATCGTTTGCATTTCTGTTATGTTCGGTACATGGGTTATTTATCGGGATATTTATTTTCTGTTCTATTTCTCAATTTTATTCCGAACACTTAGACAGAAGTATTTGGAAGATGGAAAACTTTGCTCGTTAACATTAAATGGCTAAGAAAGCTATTTTTTAATTGCATAATCGTTTGCTTCTATTCTCTGTGGCCTCTTCCGGGGTTGATTTCTATTTTACCTCATATTTTCATAGTCACGCTGTCTTGTCGCATGGTCTACGTGTAGCAGGTGCTATTCAATATTACCCAAATGGATTTTTTTTTTATATTTTAACTCGAGTTGTTTATATTTCCGCTGCAGGTATAAGACGCAGGATAATTTTGCATCATTTCCGCTAACCAAAGTAATTGCATTTTGTTAATCTTCATTTTATGTAATGCTCTGTTAATCCTGGAATTCCATGAATGCTATTGTTTTTTTTTTATTCATTTCGAAATCGGTATAGGAATGGGGTTCTGAAAGTAATACGAGGTAGACCTTTCGGTGAATATCCTGAAAGAGAATAAGAGTTTCTAAGAATTGGTGGATTGCTTCTTTACAAATCTCATTCGCCGGTACAAAACGATCCTTGTCAGTTCTTTGGAATCCTATCTCGATTTTCCAATATTTCTGGAGAAGGAAAACCCAAAGTGAAATTTTATCTCCTCTCGTTCGACTACTCCACTGCACATTCATTCACATATATTCATTTCCAAATGCTTACACCCGGAAGAGGAATTTTTCTGTATGCACTTGCTTTTCTATCTGCATGTGGTGTTGTAGAGAAAGAACTGCAGCAGCTCTAGGTATTTCGATGGGCAAAGTGACAGAATGTGTTCATATTGGTGATTCTGGCGCTGAATTTTCGACTCCAGGAAAGGTCAGACCAAAACCCAAGACTGTCCGAAATGTCGATGAAGTCGTCGCGGAGCAAATTCGATCTATCATTTACGAATTTGCAGAGAAGCGTAAGTACTTAAGCTCTTTTTTTGTGGTTATTTGAATGTTATGTAAAATTCTTCTTTCGGTATGTAGGATTGCATCTAACAGCTCAAATCCTGTTCAACACAATAAGGTAAATAATTTATCATCATGATTCTTGGGTATTTACATTTTACGATACGTATCAACTCAATTTTGTATAGAGAACGCAAGGTCGCTTTCAATGGTTGTATCACTACCTTGAAGAAAGTTCTTCATGATTTGGGTTTCGACTATGAGTTGAGAGATGGTACACGATTTCTTCGAGAAAAACCGTATATTCGCGCGAAGAGGATTGCGTTCTTGAAGAAGATGAAGCAGCTGATAGATGAGGGCAAGTGTATCATCTATCTGGACGAAACTTGGACCTACCGACGAGGTACTGGAAAAACGAAAGAATGGCAAGATGATGATCCCCGTAGTTGTTCAATGAAATCGGCTTCTACTGGAGATCGATACATCGTTTGTCACGCCGGCGGCAAGGATGGATTTGTTCCTAATGCATCGCTTTTCGTCCGTACGGTACCCAATCCCAAGAAAACAGATGATTATCACGGGGATATGAACGGACCTATGTTCAAGAAGTGGTTCACTGAAAAACTGCTCCCCAATCTTGACAAACCCTCCGTGATTGTCATGGATAATGCCTCCTATCATTCAGTCCGCGTACGTGAATTTATAAATTTACTAGTATTTAACATTTGTTTATTGGCCATCAATAAGTTCCCAATGGAAGTTCAGTTTTGCCCAATTTTCAAGTAATTAAAATATCTTTTCTAGGTTGTAAAACAGCCTACATCCAGCTGGAGAAAAGCTGAAATGCAGGCCTGGCTTGATGATCACAAAGTAGCGTATGATTCAGATGCAACTAAGAAGGAATTGTACGTTCTGTGCCAAGTTCATAAAGAACCGATCCGATTTGAACTGGATGAATTCGTTCGTGAAGAGACTGAGCATGAAGTCGTGCGCTTGCCACCATATCACTCTTTCTACAATCCCATTGAGATGATTTGGTCGCAAGCCAAACGATACTATGATGCTCATGTTGGTCGCAACAATGACTTCTCCCTTGCTCAGACTGATGAGATCTGGGCTGAAGCGTTGGAATCAGCAGCTACAGGCTGGAGAAAGTGCTGTGAGCTTACGGAGAAACGGATTCTTCAAGATTACAGGAGGGAAGTCAGTGATGATTCAGAGGATAGTTATCAGATCCACATAATCTGCGATGAGGAGGATGACGAGAAGGATTTCGATCTGACAAACGTAGAGATTTTGCAGTTTAAGGAAGAGGATTCAGCCCAAGAATCATGCTTCTCGACTGTAACTCCAACAGAGTTCACGAAACCATCGAGTGTGCGTCGATCTCTATTAGACATGTTCGAGTCCCAAATGGAGATTGGAGATTCAGAGGATTCTGAACTGATTGAGCCTTCCGCAGACCTCGAACCACCATTGAAGATGGCCAAGGTCGAGGCCACCATTGTGAGTAGTACTTCTAGAGAGATTACATCGTAATCATTGATATTTAATCTATGTCGTCATAATTCCCATGATGATTATTGTGAAGTGAATTTTTATTGAATTATTATAATACTGTTTTAGCTGGATGTAAACGATCAGGGACCAGTGACATCTCTTCCTACACAACCTGATTCGTCCTCCCAGACTGTACTCTATCCTTCACCAGAGACTCAATCGTGCTTTTTGCTTGAGACTCCACAGTTCTCATTGCCTGATACTCCACCATCTTCATCGGCTGAAACTCCACCACCTTCATCCACCGAAACTCCATCATCTTCATCTCCTGAAAGTCAGTTATCTTCATCGACTGACGTTCCTCCCAGTCTTTCTCTTGTTGAAGTCAGTATTATAAATGTGAAAAATCCAAGTTTCATGGTTTCCGAATATTAATTTTTCATATTCTTATGCGTTTCTCAATCTATAGACATGGTTACAACGTAGTGACGAGACGGTCATTTCGAACGATGGTGAAGTGGTACGAGTAACAGACTTGAAGAGATTATTGCCGGGATCATGGTTGAACGATGTTGTGAGTATGAAAAGAATAGGAAAGTATTATGTTCGATTATTTTCATTCGATATTTTCTGATTTTCCTTTCAGGTCATAAACAAGTACTTGAGTCTTCTGGCAAAAAGAAGCGAAGGTGCTGTTCATGTTCTCAACACGTTCTTCTATCAGAATCTTCTTCGTTCATACGATAATGTTTCTCGATGGACGAAAAAGGTAATTCCGACAAAATTTTACGAGAAAGAAAAAATTAGCTTTAGATCTGATGTTTCTTCACCTACACCTTTCCATTCTTGTTCCAGGTTGACATATTTTCCAAAAAAATGTTACTCATACCAATCCATTCGGGTAATCATTGGTGTCTGTGTGTGGTCTATGTCAAAGAGAAGTCCATTCAATTGTATGACAGTCTCGCTCAGACTTCCACAAACGTGAGTATCCAAGAATCTGTTAACTATTTTAATCAAAATCTGATGAAGTTCTGCGTCATAATCGAAATATGGCAATGTTGATTCCGCTCTAGTTACCTTTTTCGTTCTCAAATTAACAGCACACGCAAGTTATGGACACAATTCTCTCCTATCTCGACAATGAGCATCGGCACAGAAAAGGTCAATCATTGGATTCTGCGAGATGGACCACTGAACAAGTCAATGTATGTTTTGTTATATGCCAACTTCGTTAACGTGTGATCAATTATTTTCTTTCTTTCATTTCCACAGGATATTCCTCATCAAAACAATGATAATGACTGTGGAGTATTCGTTTGCGTGTATGCTGAATATCTGACGAGGCATGCCAGCTTCTTGTTCACAGCAAACGATATGCCGCACATCAGACGCAGGATGATGGAGGAAATTGTTTCGTCTGAGTTGTCTTGTACTTCACCGATGCCATCGTGTGGAGAATCTCAACATTTAGAACAGCCAATTACAGAACCTGAATCAACATTGGTACAGTTGGCATTGGTTTCAGTTTCTCTTGAGCTTCTCGTAAACGAAATATTAATCATAACTATTCCCCTAACGTTTCCAGATACAAGATCACCGTTCATTCTGGATGAGGAAGGACAAAGTGATCGAGATTTCCACTAAAATCGATCGCGTTCTCCTCCATGAATCGGCGAGGTTCCATCAGGGAGATAAGCGCTTCCCACCAGAAAGAGCAAATTGCCAATGCACTGCCAATTCCATCTGCAGCATCGTTGCATTGCTCCTCTCCGATGGGAAGGTCACTCGAGATCTTCTTGACAGAGTGTTGGTAGATGGTGACAAATATTACGCTGATAGTGTATCTCACAAGGACCCAGGATATACCCACTTGTCTCCAGAGGATCTTCTCACGTCGATCATCGCTTGTGGTCATTCGGTTACAATCGAGCCTCGGTCGGAAACTTATGGGCTGTTTTCATCGGGAACTGCTGTGAAGGACATCACAGTAGCGATCAACTCGATGGGAGATCTACATGCATCATCCTTGGAGCATACAGGATTTTTGTATATAGCTGACTCCAAAACCGTTGCATTCCTCATCTCTCCAGTGATCTCGGAATCATTACGACGTGTATATTACATGTTCAATCCACACTCGGTTGACAACAGCAATTGTCATCCCCTGAGTAGTCGAAGCAGAGGTGTTGCTCGTCTGTTTCGATGCTTGTCGACAGATGCCCTAGCTCGACTGTTGGTAGTTGATCGTCGTGGAGGTAATCGTGGAGCTTGGCAGATATACTCCATTAAGGTAACGATAAATTTTCTATTCAATTGTTTCACCACCACTATTTATATTTAATTTCTGTTCTACAGATCACTGAGTTCTCCAAGTGACTATCTGGCACTCCAACCGTTAGCACGAAATTGGCTGATCTTGAGAACGAACGAAGTAGAATCATTAAAAAGTTAAGTTGTGGTTTCCATTTTATTCCTAGTCTTGATAAATCGACAATAAACAGAATTTTTCTAATCAGCTAATTTTGTCAAAAATTGATTTCAGCCATACGACTCGAACGACTGCGTCGGAAATGGAATGGAAGAAATCCTGTCTTAAGTTAAGTTTTCATTTTTTCAATCATGCTCTTACTTTTCCTCATATTGTTGTTTTTAACAGTTTATTAATGTTTGATTTTTTCAAATTCTTTCAGCTTTCTCGAGCACCAGGCAAAAGAAATTTCAAATGGAATACCTTAAACCTATTCGTGTACAGCTTGTAGATTAGATTTTAGTTTGACTTTCTTCTGTAATTCATTCGAACCTATAGAGCTTATTTTGTCGGTTCCCTACTGGAGTAATGTTTGTATATTTTGATAATTAAGTACTATGGATAAGATTTAATGAATTGTAATTTATATAAGTACAAGTGAAGTTATTGTAATTTTCTAAAAAGCATATAAATTATTGTTATTTCAAGTTAATGTAAAATACGAAAAAAGTGTGATAAAATCGACGTATAAATATAAAATTTGTTTTTTGGAGGATCATTGAAAATGAATTTGATCTTTCTGTTATTTGATATGAAACGTTGAAACGAAATGTACAAATTATTTTTCACCTAGTTTATAGTTTTTTCTATCCCCTTTGTTCTTCCATTCCAATTTTCGAGCCTTGTGTCTGATAGTCATTATTGTCATTTTCAAAAAAATTCGAAAACGCAGCTTTGCGTGGTTTCTGTCGGTGTGTAGCATGTAATAAACTTATTATTCAATCATTTCATAATGAATCACCAGAAATAATTTTATTTAAATGTAGGTATAGATAATTTTCACGTCGATTTACAATTTTTAGAGAAATTAGGAATATTTGAGAAGATTTTTCGAAGATTTAATGATTTTTTATTTATAGTTCTCAAATATTGTACATCAATGTGGACTTTTCTGGAATTTTTGAAACTTTTGGTCAACTGTTGGAGAATTAGACAAGTCAATTACTATTATTAATTTATTAAGTATTAATTTTCACGTATTTCCTCATAATTTTGTTATCAATTCATTGTTTTTTCATCAAAAACGAAAAAAACAAAACAGGAAATTATTTTTCATGTATTTTGAACACGCCGTACGCGGAGGGATACACCACCGTCCCACCGCGCATGCGCGCGTCGGTGGTGGGGGAAGTAGGGGTTAGATGGAAAGATCACTCTCATATTGTCGCCAGTATATACGTTTCGATCGACGGGGACAAAGAGGATAGACCTGAGTAGAGGCCCGGATCGGGGGGTTTCACTGACTCCAAAAATGTTAGTTGGTACCGCACGGGAAAGGTGGCGTCCCGGTCGAATAGTCGGTAAATGTGAGTCGGGTGCGTGCAGAGATTATAGGGGAGATGAACAGGGCCAATGTAAAGTGTTCAACAACAAAAATCGTAGCGGTGGCGCATGGACTACGATGGAGCGTACGGAACTGTTGGTATGATAGGGCCCGAGCATAAATTTGTCGATAACCGGAAAGGGGTTCTCAATACGGTAGCTCCTCGCATTTTGTAATAATTGTCAGGAATGTAAAATCGAAAATATTATAATCAATAGTATAATGAATGCACAATCTAATGATCTAAAAGTCTTTTCCTTTTTCTCGACATATTTATCATTGACACGTAGGTCAAAAAATTCATAGAAAATCCCAGCGCTGTCGCTGGAAAACTCTATAGTTTTCCAGTGATTCTATTGA